GCAATGATTGCTGCAGTTCTGCTGAAAACAAATCATTGCTTCAATAAAGCAGATCTCTCATTTTTTCAGACAACTGAAGCAGAATGGAATGTTACTATAACAGAGCTGCTGAAATCACCCAGCTTATTAGTGTTATTGCTGACTCAGGACACCACATTGTCCTCTCCTATCCAGCACACAAGTGATGGGCACATTTTCACAAGCCGACTAATTTGCATCCCAATGCACTTTTGGATGAAGCTGAGGGTGAGGGGGAACTTCGCAGAGGGATTTGACGATAAGCTTTCTATATAACTAAAAAGGCAGGAGGAAGCCAAATGTTAATTTCTACACTCCATACATCTCAACATTCTACAATACCTCCCAACTTTCTACAATAACTCCCAACCATCTACCATACCTCACATATTTTTACAATACCTCCCAACCATCTACCATACCTCACATATTTTTACAATACCTCACAAACATCTACAATACCTCCCAACCATCTAAAATACCTCCCAACTTTATACAATACCTCCCAGCCTTCTACAATATCTCACAATCTTTTACAATACCTTCCAAACTTCTATAATACCTCCTAATCTTCTACAATACTTTTCAACCTTCTACAATACCTCCCAACCATCTACAATACCTCCCAACCTTCTATTATACCTTCCAACCTTCTACAATATCTCCCAACCATCTACAATACCTCCCAATCTTCTACAATACCTCCCAACATTATATAATACCTCCCAACCTTCTACAATACTAGACATGTGCGATTCGTTTCGTTCCGAAATTCGTTAGCGGTAGTTCGTTCGAACGTTCATTTCGCTTTAGTTTCTTTTTGGCTTCGTTCGTTTGTTCGTTGGAGCAAAGTGACATTAGAGAAGGAGAAAAACATTTTTCCCCCTCAAATGTCACTTTGCTGCAAACGAACGAATGAACGAAATGAATAAGAAACGAAACGAACGTTCAAATGAACTACCTCTAACGAATTTCGTCTGAATCCGAATTCCGAATCCGAATTGACTTTCACACCCGAATCCTGAAAAACGAAATAACACAAAATCCGAATCAGAACGAAACAAAACACATTTTTTGGCAGTGCACATGTCTATAAAATACCTCCCAACCTTCTACAATACCTCCCAATCTTCTACAATACCTCCCAACATTATACAATACCCCCCAACCTTCTACAATACCTCCCAACCTTCTACAATACCTCCCAACATTATATAATACCTCCCAACCTTCTGCAATACCTCCCTACCTTCTACAATACTTCCCAGCCATCTGCAATAGCCCCCAAACTTCAACAATACCTCCCAACAATCTACAATACTTCCCAACCTTATACAATACTTCTTAGCCATCTACAATACCTCCCGAACGTCTAGAATGTCTCCCAACCTTCTACAATATCCCCCAACCTTCTACACTAACTCCCAACCGTTAACAATACCTGCCAACCTTTTATAGTACCTGTCAACCTTCTACAATACCTCCCAACTTTTACAATACCCCTCAACTTCTACAATGCCTCCCAACCATCTACAATACCTCCTGACCTTCTACAATACCTCCCAACCTCGTACAATACCTCCCAACCATTTACAATACCTCCCAACCTTCAGCAATACCTCCCAACCTTCTACAATACCTACCAAACTTCTACAATACCTCCCTACCGTGTACAATACTTCCCAGTCATCTACAATACCTCCCAAACTTCTACAATACCAAGCAACAATCTACAATACTTCCCAACCTTCTACAATAGTATAAAAACACTCTTCTGCTAATACTGTGACATTTGCGTTAAATAACACACAGGGGTCTATTCACCTAGCTGCCGAAGGATCTAGCCGTAGCTTCGGCCGATCCTTCGGCTAGCTTCGGCCCCAGGACCCCTTCGGTTCAGTAGAACCGAAGGGGTGCTGTACGGGCTATTCACTATAGCCTGTACAGCTCCCGAACATGGTCGAGCGGCTCAGTCAGTCATGCACGGAGCCGTGTCAGAATATTTTGTGAATAGCCGAACAGTGTTCGGCTCACTTCACTTGGGGTCGGTTGTTCACTCGGCTGCCCTCGGCAGCTTAGTGAATAGACCCGACAGTCTCATTAAGTGCTCTTTAATGTCAATGTCCGTGCATCCAATCCACTGAATTAAACTTGTGATTATACACACCAACACTCAGTGAAAATGACAGTGCTGGAGTAGTACTCTACGTGTTACGTCTAATTGACTTCATCAGGAGTGACACAATCACAGAGATCATTAGCAAGAGACCCTTTCTCTAGGCCTTTTCTATGTCTTTCTGTAACACAAACATGGCCTAAAGGTGAACTTAGCCTTTAACCACATGCTGCCCAGAGCAATTTCTTACATTTGCACACGCATGATAAAATCAAAATTTTTGCCTAGAAAACAGCTTCAGACTCCAAAACAATTATATATTTTCTGAAAGCAGAGGCCCTGTAGAATAAAAAGATGCTAGTTGCAATTTTGGATGTTGCACGGTATTTGCGCAAATGTTTATCAAACAAGTATTTTTAGGATAAAATACACTAAAATTAAATTTAGTGCATAGAAACATTATATATTTTCTGAAAGCAGAGGCCCTGTAGAATAAAAAGATGCTAGTTGCAATTTTGGATGTTGCACGGTATTTGCGCAAATGTTCATCAAACAAGTATTTTTAGGATAAAATACACTAAAATTAAATTTAGTGCATAGAAACAAAATATAATGCCCAATTTTTGGGTAAACTATAAGAGACAGCGTTATGTTGGGTAAATAGATACCAAACATGTCAAGTCTTAAAATTGCGTGCCTCCGTGAAACCTCAAAAAACGACAATAACCAAAATTTCCCATTGGCGAAGCTTTAAACACTTTTATGGCTCATCAGTTTAGTGCTAACAGTGATTGATGGGCCTAGAATTATTGCTTTCACTCCGACGTTCGCGACCATATGTAACATGTGTGGCGCAATGTTTGTTTTTGCACGTTCTCTTTTTTTTTTGTTACTTTAATTTTTCTTTCAGACCCCTGATGTCACCTAGGGACCCCAAAAAAGCTGATGAAGCAAAGATCTGCTTCATCAGCTTCTTCTTCTGGCTCAATAAGCCTCCTCCACACGCGGCCTGGGCTCAAACGCGTGCAATTGAGCACCTGAAACAGACGCCAGAACGCTTGTATTTAAACAGCAATCGGCTGCTGTTTAAAACGGTGCTGAGAACATATCTGCTGCAGCAGCCGTGTTCTTGGTATAACCACTTCCAGTGCATGACGTGTATTGACGTGAAGCCGCTGGAAGTGGTTAAAGTGACAATAAGCTCAGGAGTTAAATCTTAAAAATCAATCTCAATACAAATTAGTAAACTTTTCCTCAGATTGTAGTCCATCGTGGGAGCGAGCAGAGAAGCAGCAATACAATTTTTCCCAGAAGAGTACAAGTACCAATACTTTTCCTCAAGTACTCGCCGATATCAATTACCGATACCTCTTTTTTAGGGTCATGTGACAGTTTTTCTAAAACAATACAGACTAATGATTTTAGGACAGTGGTGGAGCACCAGAGCCAAGTTGCAGCTGTAACTGCTGCGACCCTGGTAGTTCTACCACTGACTCCAAGCTGTAGAGGGACTACAAATCCCAGTGATACATTATACAGCAATGCAGAATACCACCAGCTATAGAGGACAACAAATCCCAGCAATACATTATACAGCAATGCAGAATACTATCAGCCAGTGGCTTCAGAAGGGGGGTGCGGGCCGCAACCGGGTGACACCATTGGAGGGGTGACACCAAAATGACTGATAGTCATTTTGGTGTCGCCTCCTCTGAACTAAGAGCCCGACATGGACTGAGGAGACCCGGCAGCATACCTTATCCCACCACGTGAACATCCCCTCCTCTCTCTGCCGCTGTCCATCACCAAGATGGCCGCCGGCAGGTGTCACAAAGTTGGCCGCGCATGCGTGATGATGTCACCGTGCATGTGCGTGGTGACGTCACCCGGTATCCACTCTGGGATGCCTCTGCTATCAGCCATAGGGACTACAAATCCCAGCAAGACATTATACAGCAATGCAGAATGGCACCGACAAAAACTAGCAGTTATCTTGTGCAGTGTGGGGTAGCCCCACAGCAACAAATAATACAATTTTCCCCCAAAGTTCTTCTTTAAGATTGTGTCACTTTAAGATTGAACGTGTCAAAAAATGGTGTTGGTGGTGGGGTGGGGGGGGGAGATGGTTCCTGGTGGCAAAAGGGTTAACCCTTCTGTACTCTATCCAAAACTAAAAAAAAGTGTTGGCTCTACATACACTAAATAGTACATTTTATGTATTAAGATTCTTACAGCAGAGCTAGAAGAGGGACATTTAGGGAGGATTTAAGACAAAGAGCACCAAAAGAGGGACAGTCCCTCCAAATAGGGGACAGCTGGGAGTTGTAAAGAACTTTATGAACTTGTAAGGAGTGCAGAAAACGTTTTGAGCTCAGTAGCTGTGTGACTTCTTTGTGCTTTATAAGAAAGGCTACGTCGTCATTATACAAGGAGGGGGTTGAGATGTCCATGAGTACAGAAGAGGATGAGTCGGGGATCAGCGCGCTGCCCCGCCCGCCCGTCCGTCCCGCTATTCACTTTCACTGATTAGGATTGCATAGCGGTCACCGCATAGGGGCGAGCTGTGCAGCAATCTGCGAGTGTTCCAAGCATATCATCATCCCAAAGCGGCTCCAGCCCTTCCTTCCAGGCACTTCCTTCCTTCCTCTTTAATACTGGGCTGCTGGGAGGGCTGGGAGCATATAAAGTTTGGGCGCACGCATCGAGACATGACACAGACCTCTGTGAGCGGAGCTCTCAGGACTTCACCGCTGGGCTGCTTGGACTTTGCGCAGTGCCCGCCGCCCAGCACCGTGGTCTGCTCTGCCCATTCCGGGACAGCATGCTGACTTTCTGCCTTGTCTGGGCTCTCATCGCCCTGGCACAGCCGGCTCCTTTGGATGAAGTCACCTCCACTTCGGAGTTTGTGTGCCTGGATCAAACCTGCTACTCTGTATCCTGGGAAAAGAAGCGCTTCGCTAAAGCAAAGACTGTATGCGAAGCCCGGAAAGGGCAGCTGATGACAGTGCAGAACTCCGTGCAGGCAGAAGTCATCTCTTTATTTGTGTCCAAAGCAGAGAAGGATGTCAGAGTTTGGATAGGACTGGAACAGCCCTTTAGGAACAAATGCACAGATGTGTTCCAGCCTTTAAAAGGCTTTAAATGGGTGAGTGGAGACAGTGACACAGATTACACCAACTGGAGGAATGCTGATGTCAATAGATGTGGTGCCCTTTGTGTCACTGTGCACAAGGATGGCACTTGGGAAGAGACTGACTGTGATTTCAAGGCTGATGGTTACTTGTGTGAATTAAATTATCTCGATTCATGCAGACCGCTTAACCTGCCCGAAGAGTTGAATATCACTTATTCCCACACGTCCCTTGGTCTGGGCCGCAGTGGGGGCCCCGTCTTCCCCCTAGGCACCAATGCCCATATATCCATGCTCCAGGACTCTCTGCTCTGTGCCAGCGAAGGAGATGGGCAAGTGCAATGGAAGCGTCTAACCCCAGGACCCTGGGATTGCAGTATAGAGAATGGGGGTTGTGAGAATGATTGTATGGTGGAAGACGGCACCCCAAAATGTACATGCCCCCCGGACACAAAGCTAAAAGAAGATAACAGGACTTGTGCTAAACCATGTGATCCCAACCCCTGTAGTCAGCTTTGTATTACAATATCGGAGTCACCGGGCTTCATCTGTATGTGCCAAGAGGGGTATGAACTTGTAGATGATGGAAGTACCTGTATAGATATTGATGATTGTGCAGTCAACCCCAATATCTGTGATCATCATTGCACCAACACTATTGGCAGCTTTGTCTGTGGCTGCAAACCTGGACTGGAGCTGGTGACTGATCCTGATTGTGATAACCCTGATGGATGTCCATCAGAATGTGTGGACATCAATGAGTGTGAAAGCCCATTTACCCTATGTGAGCACGACTGTGAAAACTTTGATGGGGGCTACAGATGCTTCTGCTTTGAAGGCTTTGTGGTGGATGACAAATTCACCACCAAGTGCAAAAGATTCTGCAACACCTCTTTCTGTGAGGCTGAGTGTGATATCAATGACATAAACAAATGTGAGTGTCCAGAGGGTTACATAGTGGATCAGAATGATGAAGGTAAGGCAATCTGCACTGATTTAGATGAATGTGAGAATAACCCCTGTGATGGCAACTGTACCAATTTATTTGGGTCATTTGACTGTACCTGTCCAGAGGGCTTCATAGTCTACGATTCTGAATGCAAATCTACAGAGGAAGGTTCAGGTATGCCTGAAACAACCACTGCCAAACGACCTTTTGAGACACCACCAACAAAGCCACCTCCACCCGATATCCACAGCCTACAGCCGGCCATGTTGCTAGGGATATGCATTGGAGTTATATCCATGTTAACTGTTCTGATAGCAATTCTGTGCCATATGCTCAGGAAGCACTACATGGAGCAGCATGCCTTGGACTACAAGACGACAAACACTGAGAAGGATGTAAGACTGCAACAAGTGAAAACAGATCCACAGAGGAAACTTTAGTGCTGCAATGTCATACACTGTTCATCTGCAGAACATAGACTATACCATGCTGCCTCTGGGCACAGTGAGTAGATCGAGCTGAAAACTGTGGCCTTAAATCGGAGGACAAGGTGTAATGTGCAGTACCCCAATGCAGCCAATCAGAAGTCATACTTCATCATCCTGACTACTTTATAATGTGAGATCTGATGGCTTTTTACGGGTTGCTGTAATCACTGATGCTCATTTAAAGCCCCACTAACTTAAGCTAGCCACACACAGTCATGTTTTCTTTGAGATTTGGTCTGTCAGAACAACTAAATCTGGAATTTATTTACTAAAGGAACAGAGACTGTTCACTTTGAAAAGTGATTGTTCACTTACTAGATACACTGAAGTTGTGTTCCTATCCAAAATCCAGTCATGTCCGTAAGAGAATAAAAACCGTGATTTTGCTTGCACGTGATTGGATGATTGAAGTGATCACAGCTTCACCGTATTCACTAAGCTGACTCAGCATTCACTATGCTAAGTGAACAGTCTCCATTCCCTTATGAAATCAACCCTACTGTATAGCGTGAGGACTTTTTTCAACAATCCTATTTGTATTATATCCAGTTAGGTAGAGCATCACCATGCAAAGTTGTTGATAGAGTAGTTCAAATCTGAATGTCTGATCGTGTGCCCACCATTAGATGGTTATAGATGTTCAGATCTGCCAGTGAGAATATGTCTGTCCTTGTTCAAATTACATTTCAATGAGCCCTCTGATATATTTTCCCTGACCAGGCTGTCTGTTGAAAAGGGGGTGATCAGCAATAGGTTACATATTAATTTCTTAGGCATGCCAGAAAATATTTAAATCGTATATACATGGCCCAATTATTGCAAGCCGTAGCCTAATCTGTTTTATCACTTGCATTTGTTAAGCTAGCTATAATACATTTTATTTGTTCAGGCTGAATGAAGTAATCAAACAGATTTCTCCATCCATGCAAAGGACGAATCTCCCACTGTGGCTGCAGTCACTGTTCATCCAAATGTTTCTGATATTAAGTGATCAACTTTCGTTGAACTGACAGGGCCACCCACTGTAAGAATTTCGGTCTATTCCTGTTAATCTGCCAAAATTCTAACAGTGTATGGCCAGCCTTACCCTGTGTTTATTTACTAAAGGAGTAGAAAGTGTTCACATAGCAAATGACTGTTATTTAGCTTAGCAAATAAGGCAAAGTTGTGTCCACACTGAATACCCAATCAAGTGCAAAAGATTGAACTCAGCTTCACAAAATTCACCAAGCTGAGTGAACATTCACTCTGCTAAGTGAACATTCTCTACTCCTATAGTACATAAACCCTTTTCTGCATGATAAACATTTCGCACAATGAGGCCAATGACAAACATTCTAGACCTCTGTAGCTGGGCCAGACTACTAGAACTGATTGAATGTAAATACAAGCAAACACTTGTACACTTTGTACAGGAAACATACAGTATATGAAGCTTTGAGATTGCACATTCTTATATGCTGACCTCTCAGGCATTGGAACTATAAGACCAGTATTAAGAGGAGTCATTTTTTAAAATTCTTTATGTAGAAATTACATTGATCAATCTGATCACCCATACTTTTTTTTTAACCATATGCAATTTTTAAAAACCAGGGCAAAGAAAACAAAAAGAAAAAGTTGTTATTCATGGCAACCATGTAAACTGTTCATATATTCATATA